CCGAGTCCCGAGGTCCGAGTCCCACGTCCCCGTCCCACTTTTAGTCACAGCCCCAGGAAAAGTCTGCCACGACTTTTCCGGCACCACTTTCTGATGCACCACTTTTTTCCGTTAAGCAGAATGAAATGTGCGCACACATCTCGGTATCCCAAGATGACGGACGAAGCTGGTATGATACTGTTTACTTTCTGCTTTTTTTAGCCACAGATCTTTTTCCCTGTTAGTATATTCAATTTTTTTTTTTCGTTTTTATGGATTTTTTAAATTTGCGAAGGAACGGGCTGGTTCCCGACACCTTTCACCAGTTTTTCATCAGTGGTTTTTATTGCTTTTATATCTTAACGTAGAGGCACGTAGCGAGTGTTTTCATCTGACGCCTGAATGAACCTGACACAAGAAAGAGAAGTACCAAGAGAAAAGAAAAACCAGGAAAAAGTCGAGAAGAAAAATCGAACGCGAGAGAAAAAAAAATCGAGCGCGAGAAAAAAAAATCGAGCACGCGAAAAAAAAATCGAGCGCGCGAAAAAAAAAATCGAACGCGAGTTTCGCGAAGCACAAATTGGGCTCCGTAAAGGTACAACGTTTCTTTGTGGTCTCCGTCCCTCAGCGCAATCAGCCTTTGACCAAACTGTTTGCCCAACGAGCTAATTATTCATTAGTGTGATTAGCTGAGCAGTCTAAGATACCGCATTCCAAACCAGATTCCATCATTTCGTACTTTAATGCACCCAGTCTACACGCAGCCAGCTCTTGAAGATGTCAGCTTAAAGATGGTGGAGAGAACGATACCAGTGGTGGACTTTGCTGTGATGGGTTTAAATCGTGAAAAGCCTCCAACACTCAACGAAGAATCCGTGAGGGTACTGGCAGATCAAATTCACAAAGCGTTTAGTACAATTGGCTTCGTGTATTTAACAAATCATGGAATATCTGAGAAGGAGGTAGGTAATCACAAAATGGTTTGCATATGCCTTGTAAAAATAATTGTAACAAGACGCCTAAAGGCGTTTCCGTGAGATGCGTTGGCTACTGAACGTAGCATTGAAAGGAATTGTGCAGTTACTGTAAACTACCACGACTAGTTGGATTGATCAGCCGAGGAAATCACTGCAGGAAATTTAAGTGTTGAAAAGATTGTGACATGGCTATTTTTGTAATTGACTGAAAATAGCGAAGAGTGGCAGCTCAAAAACCTTTGGATTTTTCTGAAAAAAACTGCAACTCCACCTACTGATTTCCTCGTCTCATCACCTGTTTCATCCCTCCTAAGAGCAACAGCCCGGTTAAAACAATTTCCATCTCCGCTGTTGTTTATCAAAAACGTCAGTAAGTTCGTAAACAGGCTATATACTCTTTCATACTAGTAAAAGACTGTACTGAGTTATTTCCAAGAGATTTGTAGTTAATTTTGTGACCACTGCGCGATGTCAATTCCAAAATCACCTTACGTAAGGTGAGAGGTTAATCGGTAGATTTTATTTCATATTTCATGGTTCAGTTATCACACAAAAACGTACGCTTCCCTCGGAAAAAACGCAGCCTTAATTAATGAATATGGAATAAGGAAAAACAACACACACAAAAAAGAAATCGAATAAAGCACCACAACATGTCAAATAAATTCGACTATCTCCTTTATCTAATCAAAGTATACTTATCGCCATTTCGTGCTTAAAGTACTGAATCTACAGATGAAACATAGTTGTGAACTTCTAATTATTGGTCTTGCAGCAATGTAAGGTTGCTCTACATTATGGTAAACATCCAACTCCGCAGAATAATTAACGTACAAATAGAACACAAAAACAGCACAAAATAGTATCCTGCATTTTTTGAATTTTCATTTGCAAAATTTCTTCAAATCAGCCGCTGGAATCCAAATTTTACTTTGCCTGCATAGTAGCTCAATATATATTTGCTTGTAATGTCATGACCTTTGTTTACTTGGTTTTCTCCAGCTTTTATAAGATAAGTTTTCTGCCTTGGAACAAAAATACCTCAGAACTGCACTCAATGTGACTGCTCTTTTTTTGACTGAGTGAAATAAGGTATACGGAAACAAATTTCACAGGTTCTGTTTTGTCAGTAAAGCAAAGGATTATTTTTGTGTGCTTCTGATCAATCCAACTGCCAATGTTTACATAACATAAAAATCAATAAAGATTTTACGTGTTCCTATTGGCTAGCTTTTCAATTTGTTCATGAAATGAAACAGAAACCCAGCTGGATTTTTACCCTAGTATGCCACAGACATCCCACAGAATGAGTAGAGAAAAACAACTTATCAGATATTTTAAAAGTGAGGTATCCCAAGTTTCAGACTTCATTTCTTTTTAATAGTCTAACAACTTAAGAACAAATTACATAACATTGTACAAAGTTGTCATGTGAATTATTTTTTTGAATCATTCATGTTCTGTTTTGATCGGAGATATATATGCTAGATTGCAGAAGTTCGCCAGGCAGGAGATGGATTTTTCAATCTCTCAACTCAGGTGAAAAAGCCTTTCATTCGACCTACTGATGGTAGAAACTTTGGCTGGGTTTCACTTGAGAGGGAAAGGTAATGAAAATGGTAATGGTGATTTAAATATATTGAATGTAAAAGTTTTATGGTTGAATTACCTAGGGAGGGGGTGACTTCCTATTAATTTGCAGCTGGATGAGGTTGCATTTTTCACGACTGGGTGGACTGTAGTGAGGTTACCTTTTTTACTAGAAAGGGGTCACATGTTTTCAGAATATTGGGGGTAAGAAAATAATGGTATACAGTCAGTTTAATAAATTTGTGAACTCATTTTAGAATGAGTTACTTTATAGACTTTATAAGGTAATGCATAAACAGGAAACCGACTAAGTTTGGATTGAAAGTTACATTTGCCCTAAAGTGACTGAGATGGGGTCTTTAATTAGCCACAGATTAAACTATAATGGGGTAGGGGTCCTAAGAGGCCAGTGGTACATACCCAACAAAAACTGACCCAATTAAAACCCCCCTCCCTCTCCTAGGCTGATTTACAGTTTGAAATAAGTGATTAGAGTGTAGGATTGTGTAGGTTTTCTTCTTTTAGACAGGAGGGGTCTCTCATTGGATTGATTAATGCATCTATTTTATGTTAAGTAAACTTTCATATGTTGTTATTGAATATTATTCCAGGTGGGGGCAATTAAAACAGAAGCTGTTTTGATTTAAAACAAGTTATCCTTGCAACTGTCAATTATCTAGTTTAGTGGTTAATTCCCTGTTTTTGATGTAAACCAATAATCATTTTTTCCTAACAGCTTGAATCCTTCTCGACCTGGTGACTTAAAGGAAGCATTTAATGTTTGTGAGCTTCATGATGAAACACAGGTCAGTGATACTACTGAAAGAAATATGTATCAATAATTTAAGTTACCACCTGACGTTTTAGACTGACAGCTTTTCTGACAAAACCTTGTGATGAATGACTTTTTAATGTTGGAAATTCTTGCTCTGAATAAAAGAATGCATTTACTCTCATGTGGTGCTACATCAGTGGGAGAGCACAAAAGGATACTTTTATTAGTATTATCTACCATTCACGTGCTTATATTTTTTAACATTCATTAAAGGCTATAGTATAATAGCCGAAAGCTCATATTTTAAAACCTTTTTAACCAGAGAACGTTTTTTACCTTTTTCACTATGTCATATCCTGGTTACAGTTCAATTTTTAATTATCTACCAAGTTGATAATATAAATTGGCCACTGGAAAGAGTTTAAAAGCTGAAATTTTGAGCATTAGCCCTTTGTCCCATCACACTAAGGAAGAGCTACACTTGAATTGTCAGCTTATAAAGCCTTTATGGTGGCCAATTTGCATTGTCAACTCAGTTGATAATACCAAATTACCATGTTAATTGAATATTTGATATTTTTAGAAGTGGCCTGATGAAGAGGTACCAGAATTTAAGCCTGTGGTGACTTCATTTTTCAACAAATGCAAAGATCTAGCATTTAGAATTCTGGATGTTGTTGGTATTGGACTCAATTTACAAGTATGTATTTAAAATATATAAACATATATTATATATATGCTGACATTTTTAAGTTGACATTTCGAGTATTAGCACTTCATCAGAGTGATTGGATGAAGGACTAACACTTGAAATTTCAGATTTTAAACTCTTTCTGGTGGCCAATTTGTATATGTATATATATGTTTATGTACATATATATATATATATATATATATATATATATATATATATATATATA